TTTTTTGCAAATTCCACAAAGCAAGGTATTCATAATTCAACTTTCATTAATCTATCCAGATAAACAAACTCTAATTAAATTTATATATCTGCTCAATACCTTTTAAATAAGATATTAATAAACCTTTTTTTTGTGCTCAATATATCAACACATAGTTATGGGTCTTTACTTAGAAGAAAACAAAATTCTTGTTCTAATGTTTAAGGTTAACTTTCTTGAGTTTGGATTTTTTTTCTTTTTTTTTTAAATATATACACATGTAACTTAAAACACAATGCATCTTTAACCCATGTAACAAGCTTTCAGCTAATAACTCCCAAATCAGTTAGTCTTAGGGCATTAGGTGTTAAGACATCCCTACTATTATTTTTCATGTTTTGGGCCTTAATTGAGATATTTCGAGCCTTATTTTAATTTGCGTTAATGTTAACCCATTAAGTCATTTAGGATTTATTTTATTTCAAGTATAATTATTATTTCATAAAAAAAATATTTTTTAATGAAATCAAAATACATTATTATGGCATATTTATTGTGTGTACGAGAGAGAGGAAACTCTTTTAATTTGGTTTTTTATTTAATTACTATGACTTATCAAAAAATTAACCAAGTTTTATGACATCTTTTATACTTGTCGTTCATGTCTCTTCATAGGCATTGAATGGCATTGCTCATTTGGTTTAAAAAGGCTTAAGTATGTAAAAAATAATAATTTAGGGACCAAGCTAAATATTTTAGAAAAATCATTTTTCAATCCACAATTATATTCGTTAGAAAATGAACAATGAAAAATATTATAATTTTTTCCCCAAAAAGTTTAGTTTCTGATAATAACAGTACTAATTAACCAATTGCTAACTAGTGTTTAATAAAGAAAGAATATGCGCGCACACACTACTTTATTTGTTTCGTGCTTTTATTGTGGGTTGGATGTAAATTTTTTAAAACATAAAAACATATTTAGATCTTTAAGATCTTTCTTATATTTTCATTAAACTTCGTACAACAGTTTAAACTTGAAAGATACTTACCCAACTCTTTAATTAATATTTAATAGGCATGCTAACCCTATAGTCTATAGTCTGGGCTAACAACTCCATTAGATTGAATTAATTTTTTATTTTGTTATTTGATTAAAAATATCAAAATTAATACATCATCAATCCAATACTATAAGATAAAATTCAATAAAAGTGCCACACTAAATGATTGAATTGGCAAAAAAAAAAAAGAACTAAAGATGTATATTAATAAATGATTGAATTGGCAAAAAAAAAAAAACTAAAGATGTATATTAAAAAAAAAAGTCCCTAAAAACCCAACCCAATTTTTCAATTAATATTTAATTAACTTACGACTCGAGTTATGGATTCCACTTGGTCTATTTAATTTCGTTATTTTACCATATGATAAAAAATAAAAAGCAATTTATCATTAATTCAATACTAATACTGAATAATAAAATTTAATAAAATTTAGTTACTTTCCCCTCTAAATGGACTTAAAAAAACAAAAGGAAAAAAAACTAAAAAAAATAAACAAGGCTCATTTTATTATTATTATTATTATTATTATTTTATATAATTGCTTGTTCTCTTTTCTGAAAAAAAAAAAAACACAGAAAAAAATATTGACACGTCATTAATGTTCGTTGTGAATCAAATAGCACACACCTAGCACAACCAGAACCCACGATCTCGCTGGTTTTCCATGTTAAGGCGCTCCTTTGTTTTAAGATGTTTAAAATAATATATTAACCTCTTTCAATGTTAAAATTGGTTGAGAATATAAAAAGGCAACACCCCAAAGTCTCAGACCGGTAACCTCTCGTATTACAAGCTACAGCGATATAAAACTTGTAATCAAACGAAATCAGCTCTCCGGCTTTTTTCAGTTTTTGCTATTTAGAAATTTTTTTAAAATATCTTTTATTTATAAATATATTAAAATACTAATTTTTTTTTTTAACAACAACACATTAAAATAATCTAAAAAACACACACAAAAAAAATATTAATTTAAAAACATATAAAATATTTAAATTTTCTAAAAAACATTTTTAACCCACAAAAACAAGATATAACCTTATATATAAGATAAGATAGAAAGACTACCTATAAACGGCACAGCAAGTTTTTTAAATAGATTGCTTGGTTTTAGGCAAAAATGGCCTCATTTTGACTCATTTTGTTAAGCTGTGATAGGTTTTGTTTTCTCTGTACTCCGAACACAATACTCTTCACGTATTCGAGGATTCCTGAACCTCGACTAGCCAACCATCTTCTGTGAAATTCGTCAAAAGAGGCTCTGCCCAAGTTCCAAATGATTTTAGCTCAGTACCAAACCCACCCCAGGTCTTCTATTGAACAAGGATCAGCACAACACCGCCTTGAGGATAACATCCCACGAACCACAGTGGTAATTTATTGCATATTTTACAAATCAGCAACTGATTTTTTGGGGAAAGAGAAAAGGGATCTTCATATTTTACAAAAACATACTGCATCATCTTTTATTATTCCTCCTAGCCAGGAAGGCTATGAGAACCCACGTGTGTCCAAAACCAGCACGGAACAGGTGAGCTTCGACTCAGGAGCTTTCTTTGTCATAAACTTCCCCAGCATACTTCCAATTCATTACCTTCCATATGTTCTTCAGATAATCAGGTCTGACATTCTTGTACTGCAGCATGGAAAATGAACTTCCAAGTCATATACGAGAGATTTGCAAACAAACAAAAGGGTGTTTAAATTTGTGATTAGCCCAAACAAGAACAATAGTTAAGACACCACCGAGGAAAGCAGGGCTTTCAGTAGCATTAGCAAGAAGATGAACCTAACTGGTCACATGACAAGTTCTTTTTTCCAGCACAATAAGTTGTGGAGGGGAAAGGGTATGATTGCTTGTCATTTTTATTGTTTTTCCAACATCAAGATCCACAAACTGGCTGCCAATTGATTGGCTAGTGAGCTCAACATGTAATGCAAAGTAAAAGTTCATAACGGAAAATAGGTGTGAGGAATGCTCAAAAATTGTTTAGGCAAAACAAATGAAGTCCTGGTTTCATGTTTTGGGTGCAATCAAATATTAAAATAATGGCTGCTTTAAGCACGAGGAAAACACAAAATGCAAAATTGATTTCAGATTCAAGGACTCAAAAAAGAATCCTAACCACTCATTTCATCACCAACAAACCTTTATTCCATGAAAATAATACTAGTCCAAGGAAGATTAGAAACTTTCACGTTTCTTATTGTAAGCAGGTGACACTTTTACTTCATTTATATATTCTGCACCCCCCCATGCACTCTTGCAGCAAAGAGGAAAAATTTTGAAATTCATGATGCTCACTAACCAACAAGGTTTCTTTAAACAAAACTCTCCAACGCATTCTAACACATAAAGCCCCATGGAGATACAGATAGGTCAAACATAGTCAAAACCTACTATTACAAGGTCCTCTCATCACAAAGAAAACAGAACTAAACATCAGAAAGCGACCACATTGCATAGTTTAGATAAAAAAAAAAAAAAAAAACTCTACCTGCAAATAATATGCATGCTCCCAAACATCAACACCAAGTAATGGAACCAAGGGTCCTTTCGTTACCAATGGATCCTGTCACAAGAATCATAAGCATAATTAGATCAACTAACAATAATGAATAATAACAAGTATCTGCAGACTAAATAGGTCTGGGGAAATCTATCCCATCTAGAATCTAAATCAAATACATAAAACAACCAAATTCAGCACTCGCACTGACAAGTCCTTTTTCTAACTTGCAAAAGTTTGATAATTACAGAACTCACAAACAAGCAACAAACAAGATAACTGTTTAATCATTAGCCAACATAGAGTTCATTCTCTTATCCGAAAGGACAATGACCAGCTCCAAAAACAATCATAGAAATAATAGATAACAATTATGGCAAGAAGATCCAGATAACTGTTTAATCATGGTTTTATTTATATATTAAAGATTATGGCAAAAAGATCCAGATTACAGTTTAATCATTGTTCTATTAGAGAATCATATAAATTAAAGTAGTTCGGTGTCTATCTAGTATTGTCATAAGAAGTCCATGCTTTTGTCTTAATATGATGAATGGATAACAATTAGAAACAGCAAGAATTGAGCAACTTATGAAAATTTAATTAGTCATTATCAATTGACTTGAAAACAAAATCTGTAAATTTACCTGATTTTCTGTCGTCTCAACCACAAGTTTCTTTGATTCTTTGTCCAGACCAAGCCACTGTGACAAGAGAGAAATGTGTAAGGAAGACACAAAAAAGCATATTATAACATGTTAAAATTGAAAACCTTAAAAATTTAGACAAGCTGACCTACTTACCACCCAACCAGAGCCCTGTACAGCAGCACCCTCTGTGCTCATTTTTTTAATCAACGAGTCCAGAGAACCAAAATCTTCATCAATAGCCCATCCCAGGTTACCATGTGGTGGTTCACCACCTCCTTCCTGCCATATTTATGCGTTACAGTTAGGTACAGAAACAATAGCAGGTGCCAAATGTATCTACAGAAACAATAAAACTTACTTGGACAGGAGTGAGATTCTTCCAGAAAATTGAATGGTTGACATGACCTGCGTGAGAATAATCATGTCAAGAACTGATAAGGAAACATTAGTACGGATGTCAACAAACAAAAAGTTTTGAGTTCTAAGCTGGTTCTTTTTCTTTTTTTTTTTTTTTTTTTTGCAAGTTTCCATGATCATATGGACAACCTAAAGATGAAGCGATAACCACTTGAAAGGTAATACATAAAAGACAAATGATTTTTCCTACGATTCAAAAGGCAAGAACATAGATGTTTCAGAAATAAATAAATAAATCCTAGTGCAGCGGGTAGATCTTTCCTAAGCAAAGCAGAAGACAATACATTTACAATCTTTTCCTTCGCAATCAAACTAAATATATTAGATAGTCTTTCAGCTGGTTATTCTTAGTGTCATGCATTTGATGGCATCTCAACTGGGTGTCTGCTTCATCATAACAAGAAATGTCCAAATACTACACTTACATTTGACGAAAAAAAAAACAAAAAGAAATGTCCAAATACCATTTTATCAAAGGCCAACCTAAACAGAGTGAAAAAGGCAAGTATCCCATTCTTAGCATCAATTTTGACCAGAAATAATGAAATGCTGCTAAATAATTACCAAATAAAGCAACTCTCTTTCCAAATTTCAATTTTCTTTTTCGAATTAAAATTTTTCCCAAAAATAAACAAACAAATAAAAGCCTTTCCAAAGAGAACCAAATTCAATGGTCATTCAAGCTCTCCTCTCTACCAAAGTAGTCCTCCCTAAACAAATTGAATTATCAAACTTAATATCGCAAAAATTAGAAATAAAAAACCTCCGCCGTTGAACTTGATAGCGCTCTGCAATTTAACAACAGCAGAAGAATCGCCCTTTTCCATGGCATGATGAAGTTGCTCGAGGGACTTATTGTAATTAGTGATGTAAGTCTGGTGGTGTTTCTGGTGATGGAGCTGCATGATCTCCCCGCTAATTGCAGGCTCCAAAGCTCCATAATCGTACGGGAGATCAGGCAGGGTGAATGTCTGCAATCCACGGAATTGAAGCTTCAAGCCTACGCCTAGGGTTTTTCGAGAAACGAGAGAGCGTAGAGCCATGATTAGAGAGTGATTTGTCTTTCTCGTCCACAAGGGGAGTTAAGTCTTATTATTATTATTATTATCATTATTAACTAAAAAATTAAAACGCACGGGGATTCACTGTATAAACAATGCTGATCCTTTCAAATGGCATCTCAAATGGCACTGTGAATGCACGGTCCACGATGCTATTTTTTTCAACTTTTTTAAATTTGGTCTTCCCTGGACCAAGTTATAGGCGTCTTGGTTGAAGAACGGTGAAATTAAAAAACGAGAGATAAAGTAAAAACCACGTAGAAAATGGGTGGTTTTAAAAAGTTTATGTAAAATATTTATCATAGTTTTTATATTTTATAAATTATACATATTTTTTCCTTTTAATTTACAGAATTAAAAAAATTAATTTTAATTTCAAACTTTATTTTCTTTATTTTTGTATTATCCTTGATATGAGAGAGATGAAAAAAAATCATCAAAATCCAACATTACACGTTTTTTTATCTTGAAATTGCAAAAAAAAAAATATATAATTTTGATAATATTTTTTATCTTTAGTTGATTTCAAATTGTATGATGGCTTTTTAATTTTTTTTAAATCATAAATAAATTTATCAAGTTATTTACAAGACTTTATAGAAGTTTTAAGTAAAACACATGAGTTAAAAAATTAATTTTTAGTTGAAAGAGTTATGAGTCTTGTTTTTTGGGTTACAATAATGATCATAAACTAAGTAATATAAATAATGTGTTGTTTAATTTTTTTTTCATACTAAGTAATATAAATAATGTGTTGTTTAACTTTTTTTTTCATAAAAAACTCTAGCATAACTATCATGCACTGATATTAAAACAAAAAAGGACTTGTCTAAGCAGAATTGTCCTAGCAGGCTAATAATTTGATATTTATTTTTTTTCTTTTAAATTTTTCCTAGCAGGCTAATAATTTGATATTTATGTTTTTTTCTTTTAAAAATTATTTTTTTTATTTTTAATTAATGCTTATATGTGTTTTTTTATTCATTATTTATATTTAGATTAATACTCTTTATCTCTTTTATTTTATTTAGAAAGCTTTTTTTAGATGACAATTATTTTTAGGTTATTTTATATGTATTTAATCTTTAAAAAAAAATTTATTCATCTATAAATTATTTTTATTTTTTATATAAATTAATTTTATTTTTAAAATAAAAATACTTATTTTCAGATAATATTTCTAACATGTATAATCTTGCATAATAGTTTTTTGTTTTTATTTTATTTAATCAATTTAATATGTGTGTCTATTTATATTATTATTTGATTGAATAAAAAATTATTTTTATAAAACAAATTTAGTAAACATAATTGAGTAAATGTCTCTTATTATAATATTAAATATTTTAATCTGTACATATCTCTTGATTTTTTTAGTTATCATTTATGGATTTTTTTCATTTATTAACGCACATAATTTTTAATTTATTCAATTACATGTTCATAAATTTTTTTATTCCCATTTAGAATTTATTTTAATTACAAAAACTTGTCAAAAAAGTCGTATAAGTTTTTTTTGGTTGGAAATTTTTTTTTTTAATTAGACCCTTAATTAAAAAACGTGAACTCCTAAACTTTGTAACATTGTTCATGTTGGTCATCAAACTTTTAATTTGTACAATCATGACTATTTTCATTTTCTTTTCTCAATTCTCCTTCAATAAGACCCTAAATTTCTATCTAGATGGTGTCCTAACTAGCTATGAGTTAATTTCCCACTTGTTTATGATCGAAAACATATTTTTTATGAAAATTTTAATTTTTTTTATATTTTTTTATTTTTTATGAAGGAAAATATTTTTGAAAAAAAAAAAACTTCAGGGATTTAAAATTGGGTTATGACAAGTTGTTTACTTTATTTTTATGCTCTTATAATTTTTTTGTATTCTATTACCATTGTTTAGAAAATGTTCTTGCTTTTTTATTCATTTTCTTTCTTTCACTCTTTGCCTTGCTGCTATTTTCTCTTTATTTATTTATAGGTTTTATCTCAATATCTTGTTTTTGGGATGTGTTATTGATTAGTATTTAAAAATATATCTTTATGAAAATTTTATATCAGCATCTTGTAGTTGAAGATACATTAGTATCTAAAAATATATTTTTATCAATAACTTGTTAACTAAAGCATGTTTTATAATAATAAGTCTAATACTATAAGATACATTTAATTTATGATAAATGTTCATCTTAAATGCAAGCTTATCACATAAATGAAAGGATTGATTGATGAGTTTAATAACTAAAATTAAAATGACAAAAAGATGGTCAAACTTATAAAAAAGATGCGGGTGTAGTCCATACCTGAACACAGTTCAGTTATTAGTTTAGATATAGAGCTATAGATATCAGATTTAGGTCTACTTTATATGGATGGAAAGGTAAGACATAGGCCTACAACTTTCATATGGAGCCCAAGATTTAAAAAGGCTATTTTCAAGTCAAAATTATAGCTACAACAAAGAAGTCTGAATTTGTCCTATAGCCCGCACATTGTTCAATGTTTGGTCCATATCTGGAGTTCTACAAGTACAAATGACCTTTGTTTTTTTTTTCTAGAAAGCTGAGACAATTTCCTACAACTTTCATGTTTGAAACTGG